TTTTACTTATTTATTTATTTAACTCTGGGATCTTTGATCCCTTGGGTTAGCACCAAGAGTAAACCCAAGCCGAACCAAGGGCTCTGATGCTATAGTAACCTGATAGGACACCTATATAAACATATTATGAAGGTTTCTGAATAAGAATTAACATTGGAAAACTTCAGAACACACAGAAGTCAGAAATTAACCCCTAATTGAGCTAGTTTTGCATATCCTTGAGGAAATTCTCAGTTACTCTCTCGTTTCTCAATCTTTTAACGTTCTTTTTGTTGGAACTAAATAATGGGAGGTTGCCCTAATTCTGTTTGAATGATTTTTATTATTATAATTGTTGGTGAGACAATTGGAGAGATCTTAAGGGGCTTATGTTGAGGGTGATCAATGTGTGTTCATAGACTTGTAAATATCCAGTTGAAAAAAAATTTCTTCAAGCACCTGTTGGAAGCTTAATGATAGTGGAACGATCAACCTCAGTCTGGATATAGCTCTCAGGTGGTTAAAGAGTGAACCAGGATATATCCCGGTGTGATTCTTCATAAACCTTATCTCTTTGATTTCGATGCTTATACCTTGTTTTCTAGATTATATATACATGTTATATTGAATCTGTTTAAGGTCTAAGAATCATTATATTTCTGTTTGATTTCATTCTTGAATATTTTCTTGAAAAGGGTATTGAATTTTATTGATTGATTCCTTTTCCTTTCTAATTTTGATTCCGCTGTTTAATCTCTGAATTGGATCTTATTTCACATGTTTTAATTCTGTTTTTGGGTTAGGAAAAGTTTAATAATGAAGTTGTAATAAAAAGGTTGTGTTTTGCATTATTTCTTGAAGAAGAAGTACTAGTGACCACACAATTCACCCCTTCTTGGGTGATTGTTTAGCCATTTTTTCTTTTCTATGTATTTTTTATTTTGAAGTTTTTTGTAACTTATTTATGTATTTTAATATATTTTATTTAAAATTTATTTAGTAATTTAAAATAAAAACTAATGTGTACATAAATAAAAAAAATAGTTTAAAAATCAAAATTAAAAAATATATGAAATTATGTTTGAAAAATGTATTTTTGTCTATTTATATCATATCATAACACCATATGATTCACCCCAAGCACTGAATATGATAACATTATCATATTCTCATAATTTTATTGTTGTTTCAAAGGTTTTAAGATCAAGTGTAGGTAAAACACTCTAGAGACTGCATCTTACACATGAAGCCATTCCTATTAAATCATGTGGTCAGAAAATAGTGATTTCATAGGATGCTACATACTCAATTTGGAACCTAAAAGTAGATTTTGAAATATATTCTTCAACCCATAATTCTTTTCAAACTACAGAAATGACACACATACCAATCACACCTAAGTTCGAAAAGAATTCTCAGGTGTTATATTACTCCACACTTTTTTTTGGGGATTTTCTCCTCAAAATCAAAGGAAAATACATGTGAAGAATAACTCTGGATATTGCTGCTGAACTTCGTCTTCTCAGACGACCTCCCTTCCTACTAGACCTTGACTAGAGGAGTGACTTTATTCCTCAACTGTCTATAGTCCGTTTCTAAAATCTGTACTAGTTTAGTTGGGGTGGTCAAGTTTTCTTTCAAAAAGTGGAGGATCAAGCATATATTTCCTCAACTAGGAAATATGGAAGACACTGTGGATGTTGGATAGATTTGGAGGGAGAGCAAGCTGATAAGCAACTGGTCCCACCTTGTAGAGGATTTGAAAAGACCTAAGGTATCTTACCTAAGCCAGAGGCAAGAATAACTATCAAGGAAACACATTTCACGTCTTCAAAAGTCAAGGGCTTACGGATAGTATCAGAAAAGTTATTCTGTCTATTATGCCTTGGCTAGTCTTATTAGAGGTGTGCATGGTTCAGTTCGGTTCGATTTTTTTGCCGAACTGAACTGAATTGGAAAATACAATTGAGTTCTTAGAATTGAATTAGTTTATTAGTTCGATTCTGTTCTGAACTGGTTTATAACGAGTTTGGTTCAGTTCAGAACTAGTTATGAATTGGTTTTTAAAATCAATTTTGAATCCAAATAAAAATTACAAAAAGATTAAAGTAAAAAAATATAAATATATATATATATATAAATGATACTGAAAATAAAAAAAGCAATAAATATTTATATATAAAAAACAAAAAATAAATAAGAATTAAAAATACATAAGAAAAAAATTAAAAAACTAAATAAAAAATAAAAAAAGACAGCAAATAAATAAATAAGAGAAGAGAGATAGAGAGGTAAAAAATAAATGAAAAGAAGAGAAAAATGGTTCGGTTTATAAACTGGTTTTCAATTCACAAACTATGTTTTAAAAATAGTTTAGATCAAGAACTCATTTAAAAAAAAAATTAAGAAGTGTTTTTTGTGGTTCTTTTGCACACCAGTAAAACCAATTTTTGAACCAGTTCTGAAACCATATGAAAAGTATGAAAATATTAAAAAAAATATATAAATAATACCATAAATTTGAAGAAGAAAAAAGAAATAAAAAATTTAAAACAAAAATAAAATAAGGTAAAAATATGAGCAAAAAAATACATAAGAGAAAAAAGAAAAATAAATAAAGATAAAAGAAGGAACAAAATAATAAGGAAGAAAAATAGAGAGAAAAAATATTTAAAAAATAAGAGAAGAAGAAGAAGAAAACAATTCAATTTATGGTTTTTTAAAGCAGTTCGGTTCTTAAACTGATTTTGAAAACCAGTTCAATTCATGAACTGTTTTTTCAAAAACAACAGTTCAATTCAAGAACTCAAAAGCAGTTCAATTCACAAACTGATTTTTAAAAACCAATTGTTTTTAAGCGCAGTTCAGTTCATTGTTCAATTTAGTTTTTTGATTCTTTTGTACATCTCCGAGTCTGATCATATGGATTTGTATGGAGGTTTCTTGGACTAACTCCGGTCCTAAAATTTTCTTCTCACCTATTTCCACCTAATAGGTAGGAGATTTGTACTTCCTCCCATAGAGTGTCCCATGTGGTGCCATGCCCAAATGGAAGGAACACTATTATTGTAGGCAAATTTCACCAAGGATAAATATCTATCCTAGTTGCCACCCTGCTCAGGTATGCGTACTTGCATTATGTCCTCTAGACTCTGTATAATTCTCTTTGTTTGTCCATCTGTTTGGGATGGTAAGTAATGCTAAGTCTTAGTTGAGTATAAAAAATCTGTTGTAAAGCTCCCCAATACTGGGAAATGAACTTGAGATCATGATCACTCACTATACTCTTCGGCACCCTATGAAATCTTACCATTTCTTTAACATACATATCTGCTAGCTTTTCTGTAATATAGTTTGCCTTGACGGGCAAAAAAATGAATAATGTTTGTCATTATGTCTTTTACCACCTATATAACATCATATCACGCCTGTATAGCTACTATAAAATCTACAGAGACAATGTTAAACCTACTATAAAATCTATGGAGACATTGTCCCATTTCCATTCCGCTAGTTTTAATTACAAGTTCTACCTATACTAAATAAATAAGAAGTAGAACTAATTTTCTAACAACTATTCTGATGCACCTGAGCTGACTGACTTCAACAATTGGATCATTTTTATTGGGCCACAACTCTAATCGATTTCGAGCTTCTTGAATCAATGGTTGGGCCATGTACAATGGGTCAACGGTAAGTGCATCATGTTCATTCGAAATACATATATTTCTCAAAAAAAAAAAGCTGTCTTTTATTATATAAAAAATTAATATTCATTACATTAAAATATTTATCAATCGTAAGCCTTACACGTAGACAGCATATTTTTATTAAAAAAATTAAGGAAAAATTTGCTTTTAAATATTATTAAAATGAATAAACGAAAATATTTTTTTGGAATAAAGTGTATTTATTTTATAGATTAAACCTCGGACATGCATCACCATCACATTAAATTTATACTATAACATGTTCATATAAAGAAAACTATCTGAAACTGCAGAGAGTCTGCTTTTAGATTTTTGTTGTTGTGTGTTGCAGTTTTGTTTTGATTTCCCTTAATATTCCCCCACCCAAAAAAAGAAAAAAAAAACGTCTTATCAATTTAATAAACTTTAAACATATAGTTTTGTCATTTACCTTTATTGTCATATTAAACTATTGAAACATAAAAGAGAGGCAACAAAATTACAAAGCTATATGATAATATAAATTATGATTTGCGAAGCTTTTTTTTAAACTAAACAATAAGAAAGAAGTACAACTTAAACTTAAACCCAAGTGATGTTCCCAAAAGAAAAACTAAAATGAAGCAAGTTTCTGTTACAAGGCTTTTCGATACTGTTCAATTTGTCTTATGACCTTTTTACTAGTACATTATATTATTTATTGATCTTAATATTTTTTTATTTTGTTGATAAACCAAAATATTATATATTTTTTTTCTTTCACTTTTGCTGTTAACAAAATCCCAAAGTTTAAATCTTAAAAGAAGTAATTGTTGGGAACTTTTTTGTTGTGACAATGTGTGAGAGATTACTTTAACAATAATGTGGAGGGATATTATAGATAAAAATAGAATAAAAAAACGACATAATACCTATATTTGTCACCCTCCCTCCAATATAGATCTGCCTCGGTTGAGTTTAAGAAGATTAATACTGATATGGGATTTGAAACTAGAACAAATTTAGTACTTAGTTTGTTGAAGAACAACCAAATTTAGTCAATGAATCATTGGTTACTAGTTGACTTGTTTATACAGGATATCTTGTCATGATTACAACTTATATGTTCACCTAAATATGCCTAAACGAAAATAGAGGCATGCCAAAATTTGTGGCTAGCTGAGAGAGAATCCATGGAATTCGGAACTAAAACTAGCTAGAAACTAATTTCTAAAAATAACATCCTAATGGTTGTCAACCAACAAACCTTGTTTCTTCCTCAATATAACACCCTTTTGTTCATTCCACAATATCCTCCTATATGCAGCCTTGGGCCATCCAAGGTGGTCAGACATGGCTCACCATTTTTCAAACCAGGCCTTGGGTTGCTTTCTCTTATTTTCTCTAGTTTTGCCTTCTCTTTCAACCTTTTCTCATGCTCATTTACATGGTGTATTTCCCATTTTTGAGCCAACAGAACCTACAACATTCCCAGAAATTGGTGATGTTCCACCAGCTGAAGTTCATGAAAATGATTTCAATAAAACTTTTGCCAATGAAAGGCTAGAAAATGCCTATGTTGCTCTTCAAGCATGGAAAAAGGCTATTTACTCTGACCCTTTTAACACAACTGGTAACTGGGTTGGTTATGATGTTTGCTCCTACAATGGTCTGTTTTGTGCTCCTGCTCTTGATGATCCCACATTGAGTGTAGTTGCTGGTATTGATCTTAACGATGCAGACATTGCTGGGCACCTCCCAGAAGAGTTAAGCCTCTTGAAAGATATTGCGCTTTTCCACATCAACTCAAATAGATTCTGTGGAATTGTACCACAGAGCTTAGAGAATCTCACTCTTTTGTTTGAGTTTGATATCAGCAACAACCGCTTTGTTGGTGGTTTTCCTTCTGTGGTCCTTACATGGCCAAGCTTGAAGTACTTGGATATCAGATACAATGAATTTGATGGAGCTTTACCTTCACAGCTATTTGAGAAAGATCTTGATGCAATATTCTTGAACAACAACCGTTTCACATCTATTATCCCAGAAACTCTAGGAAAATCCAAGGCCTCGGTTGTGACTTTTGCTAACAACAAATTCTCAGGTTGCATTCCAAAATCTATTGGGAACATGGGGAACTTGAATGAGATTGTCTTCATGGGCAATGGACTTGGAGGTTGCTTCCCACAAGAGCTTGGTTTACTACAAAATGTGACTGTTTTGGATGCTAGCAATAATGGGTTTGTAGGGACTCTACCTAACTTGTCAGGATTGAAGAATGTGGAGGTCATAGACATCGCACATAACAAGCTTAGTGGATATGTGTCTAACACTATTTGCCAGCTACCTTTGTTGAAGAACTTCACATTTTCTGACAACTACTTCAATGGGGAAGCTCAAACTTGTATCGCTTCTTCCAACTCATTGGTTGCTTTTGATGACTCAAGCAATTGTTTATCAGGAAAAAAGAATCAAAAGACATCCAAGCAATGCTTACCGGTGCTAACTCGCCCTGTGGACTGTAGCAAGCACTGTGGTGGAGGCAATGGGAATAGCCATGTCCCCTCAACACCAAAACCAACTCCATCCCCTAAGGCTAAACCACCTCCAACACCAAAGGCAGAGCCACCTCCAACACCAAAGACTAAGACACCTCCAACACCAAAGGCTGAGCCACCTCCAACACCAACACTTCCACCAGTTGAAGATATCCCACCAACACTCCCACCAGTTGAGGATATCCCACCAACATTACCACCAGTTGAGGATATTCCACCAACACTTCCACCAGTTGAAGATATCCCACCAACACTCCCACCAGTTGAGGATATTCCACCAACATTACCACCAGTTGAGGATATCCCACCATCAAGTGCACCAATGCCATCACCTCCTGTAACTTTTCAGTCACCTCCTGCACCTGTCCACTCACCACCACCACTAGTACACTCTCCTCCACCACCTGTCCACTCACCACCACCACCACCAGTTCACTCTCCTCCTCCCCCCATCCACTCACCACCACCGCCACCAGTACACTCTCCTCCACCACCTGTCCACTCACCACCACCACCAGTTCACTCCCCACCACCCCCTGTCCACTCACCACCACCACCACCAGTTCACTCCCCACCACCCCCTGTCCACTCTCCACCACCACCACCACCAGTTCACTCCCCACCACCCCCTGTCCACTCACCACCACCACCACCAGTTCACTCTCCTCCACCACCACCAGTTCACTCTCCTCCACCACCAGTACACTCTCCTCCACCTCCTGTCCACTCACCACCACCACCACCAGTTCACTCTCCTCCACCCCCTGTCCACTCACCACCACCACCAGTTCATTCTCCACCTCCACCAGTTCACTCTCCACCACCACCAGTCCACTCCCCACCTCCACCAGTTCACTCTCCTCCTCCACCAGTTCATTCTCCACCACCACCACCAGTCCACTCACCACCACCACCAGTTCACTCTCCACCACCACCCCCTGTGTACTCACCACCACCACCAGTTTACTCTTCTCCTCCACCACCAGTCCAATCTCCACCAACACAAACATGGGATGACATTGTCCTTCCACCATTCTTCGGAGCTGAATACAGATCACCTCCTCCCCCAACAATTACTGGATACTAAAATAGAAGAAAACAATAACATCACAATCTTTGTTTGTATTTTCGCTATAGTTTCAACATTTATGCAAAGCTGAACTACACGTATATATGTAAATTCTAATTGAACTCATCCTTAATGCTATTTTATATCTCCGTAGCTCTTATTTGTAATTAATATTTTTTTCCCTTCTTTTCCTTTCATTTTTGTGCTAGTCAAGGAATGTAGTAATGTAACCTCTTTGAATATTTCTTTGAACAATTATCTATGGTTTTAAATTAAGGAGGACCTTACAATTTAGTCTGAATAGTTAATTTAATTTCTTAATAAACGACAACATATTAATTATTGTAAACTTTGCCATCAGTAATTCATATACTTGTTTAAAAAAAATCAATTAATTTAAGCGTTAACTTTGGTGCACAATTTACGCATATTTTTTTTACAAAGAGATCATTTTTCAAATTCCATATAATCTTTCCATCACAAGAAATAATTTTATGCTATCCCTCAAACAATTTCGACATGCTGGATTAGAACCAGCGATCTAAGAATAGCTATGAGATAATGTATCTACTCTGTCTTCTGCTCTACCCACAGAGTCGTTTATTACTTAATATAATATTAGAATTATATCATTATCACTAATTCAAACATAGTGTAATTACGATTGAATCCCTGAATTATGAATCAATGAATTAATGACTAGTGTTATTTTAAAAGCATTGGTCCTAGCGTGAACGGTATGAAAAATAAAACATAGACAATGACAAAAGTTCATGAGTGCAATTAATCATCGACCTAGGGTCATGACAAAAGCCCTTAAGTTATTGCCATTATTTTCTTATCATATTAATTCGTTGACATATTTTTCGACATTGTACTACATGTAGGCTGGTAGTTTGCCCGTAATTCATGTTGGGGTGATGTTGCTCTATTAATGATGGAGTGCACCTTATTAAAAGTGATGCAGGGCTCAAGGCTGCCCAACCACTTCATCATTGTGGAAAATTCTGGAAGAAGGTGTGGAGGGTTCGCCTCACCTTATATAAACCCCTTGAAATCATTTGTAATAGGTTGATTTTGTTAGAGAATTCTGAGTAAGAGACACTTGATTGTTAGCTTTTAGGGAAGTTCAAGTATACCACCATGGTAAAGTTTGATTGTATCTCTATTGAAAAATTAGGGAAGCTTGACTCTTGTAATCTTTCCATTTGACACAGTGAAAGATTTTCTGAACTAGTGTACTCTAGGGGTGTTCGTCAACTGATTCAAATCGGGTGACTGAACCGAAAAATTGAAAACCGAATTAATCGAAAATCGAAAATTGAAAAAAATCGCAAATTTTAATTGGATTGGATCGGTTTTTGGATGGGTTGGTGAAAATCGATTCAATTCAAACCGATCCAATTATTCCTCAACCTTACCATTTACCTACTTTGACCTTTTCCCAATCATAGCCCAAAAACCATATAGCAAAATTCTAAATCTAAAACCCATTATCTCATCATGTTGGAGAAAGTGGATTGTGCTTAATCTATGTTATGTTTTTTTTTGTAAGATACATAATATATTTTTATTACATATGTTATTGTTGTACAACAGCTCTTCTATAGGATAAAAATTTGAGTTACTTCATATCTCATGCAACCATATTATAAATTTTTTGTTGAAAGTAAAAGATGATGATTTAACTTTTTGTTGTACAATGCTTCTAGATTTCACAATAATAATTATACAAACTTTACAAAGCCGATACATGCTATTTGCCAAATAATCATCATACAAATCTTAGACTTTTCAAAAAATCAAAAACGAATCCAATCCAAACCGAATAAAATTGAATTGGATCGGATTTGAAAAAAAAATTCAAACCGAATGGATGATTACATAATTAAACCGAAGGGATTGGATCGAATGATTTTTACTTCCAAAATCAATCAAATCCAGACCGCGAACACCCCTACCAGAAGGCGGAGAAAGTCAATAGCAGTTAGCAGAGTGTGGGTCTTAAGTTTATTTATTTTATTTCTCTTTTTTAATATTTTGGACTTGAGTTCATGGATAACTACAATCGTTTAGGGCCTGTTTGGAGCACCTGATGAAGAAGATAGAATAGGATAACTTATCATATCCTATTTTTATCTCTTGTTTGGTGGGTCAATAGGATATGATTAGTTTATCCTATTGTCTCATTTTATCCTATCCAATACATGATTTCTTATCCTATGGAGGAAGTTGGGTTAGGATCCAACATGGTAGGATACCAATATTGGATACCTAATATAGTTCCATGCTACCCAATATATTCCCACGCTATCCAATATATTTATATTTATTGCATTATATTTTGTTTTTTCTTTCTCTTTTCTCCTTCTACATAATCTTATCAGATTGTTAATCAGGTGCTCTTCAAACGACATGATATAGACTTATCAGCCTCATATCATATCCTACCCTTATCAGCCCCATATCATATACTACTCTTATCCTATCTTGTCCACCAAACGAGCCCTTATCGTTTCTAAATTTAATTATATTTCTCTTATAAATTGAGTAATTGAGTGGGACGAGAGCGAATATAGTTCAACATTGCTTGACGTAGATACGTGTCTCCGTTTTTCTTCCCTCATTTCTTTTTTGATTTGCAACTGTTGTAAGTGTGATTGTTCGGTCCCAAAAATATTAGTAGCAGATCATGAATACAGTTCTGACAAAATAAATGTTTTCTTCCAAGTTGTTGTGTAAGAATTTTCCATTATTGAATTCAGTTTTCCTCCAGCAGTTTAAGTCGAATTCAATGTGCCATCATATGTGCCATCATATGTGCCATAGTAATTTGAATTATTTTTATTTGTTTCCTGCATTCTGTTAGCACAAAACCTTTTACTATTGAATTCCTTTAATCTTCTGACAATGAAAGGCATGTAACCAAAGACGCTTCATCACTGAAAGACAATGACAATTTTTTATGGGGGATGTTCTCAAACATACATTTGTCAAGTTCGTGAAGCATTGACTAAATAGGAAGAGTTACATTTCCAATATGAGAAATCTATGTTGAAATCTACAATTGAAAACCTTTACCTAAGCTTTATCTGAAAGCTCAACTTTCAGAATTTGAATTGTTGAGATATATAAAACCATTAATATAACATTACCTAACAGTTTAAGCTTTTGGGTTGAATTGGTTCTTTATATGGTATCAGAGCTTCGTTTCCCAAGTTCGATCCTCACTGCTCCTACTTTCTTTCTAGTGAAATTTCTTTCTTCGCACAGGTAGGTGGGCCTGTGCATTGTCCACCCTTTAAGCCCAGTGGGCTCTCGTCTGAGGGGGCGTGTTGAGATATATAAAACAATTAATGTAACCCCACCCAACAACTTAAGCTTTTGGGTTGAATTGGTTCTTTACTTGAAAATTGAAGATTACCACAAAGCAAGGAAGGCTTTACATGAAGATTACCACAAAGCAAGGAAGGACAGCTCTCGGATTCAAAACATAAAGTTCTTCAATATCCGTTTTGACAAAAGAATCAAACTCTGAATTAGTCATTCCTTGAATCTCAAGTAGAGTATTATGGACTCGCCCAACTATTACTCTGCAAACTATAACAGACTTTCTCAGGACAGGTTTATGTGAAGAGCCAATGGAATCAATGGCTTTTCCAGTTATAGAAGCGGTAAAAGCCCCAACAGCACCGTGGAGTTCTTTGTTGGTGGAGAAACCATGCCTCAAAATTTGACATACACCACATTGGTCAAAAGTACACAGGCTAGAAGAGCCATTTATACCAAGGGAGCATGCAACAGTTGTACCATGAAACCTCAACAACTCATTTCCATCAACCAAGCATCGAGGGTGCTTATTTTGTTGCCTTTCAACATTAATATTCTTAACCATTTCTCTGCATTCCTCAAAGCAAGCAAATGTTTTTTGCGTGTTATGGACCTTCATGACACATTCAATTTGTGCTACCTTGCTTTCAGAATTGACATAGCTGCCTTGGCATATTTTTTCGATAATCTGCCATGATAAATCTTCTTTATGAAGTCCTATGACTGTAAAAGTGTACATGTTGAAGTTTCATATTAAACCATACTAGTGTATTATCCGTGCGATATACCGATATACGGGAAAAAAATTGATTTGTTTGTCTCGTAAAAGTTTATCAAAATTTAAAATAAATATTATGAATAATATTTTTTATTACAAAAACATGTAATTGCATGATGTAGGAACAAACAAAAAACTCAATGTCTTTCTTGAGTCTCAAATTAAATAACATTACGACGTGCACTATAAAACATATTCACGTATTCAGATAACAAAACATGTATTATTAACACGGCGATGATAAAATAAAAAAGAACAATTAATAAAGACTTAATTAAAATTTAAAATATGCAAGTGATTTGCAACTTAATATCATATATTTGTAATAAAAAGAAGGAGAGGGTTATATTTACAAACTACACTATGTTCTCTCGGAAGAACACTAGGTTACACTATGTTCTCCGGGAGTACACAGTGTAATTTACAAAAATTTGTAAAAAAAATTTATAAACAAATCATTCCTCTAAAAAAAAAGTCCATACTATAATAGGAAATAGTCACTTAGCTTTTGTTTTTAATTTTTTTTTCAAGTACAGTGTACTATAGCAGTTTTAAAACTAATTTAAACAACAACAAAAAGCATTTGATTTTTTTAATTTAAAAAAAAAAGAGTCAAAAGCCCTGGTTTGAAATGAATTTAAAGCATGCTTTGACTTGATTATTTTTAAGGACATAATTTTTTTTTTCAAAAGTTCTTTTCGACAAAATTTCTAGTCAAAGTCAAACTTTGACTAATTTTTTTGATAAAAACCTAAAAGTTTTGGCAAAACTTTTATTTAAAAGATATTTTGAATACAATAATGAAAATTAAATTAATGTAATTAAAAGATATTCGTTTTTTTTTTTGGTATTAAAGTTTTGTCATTACTGAAAACTAAATTAACGAGTTGTTTCTCTTATTTTTAATTACTTCACCCAAAAAAAAAACACTAAAAAATGTTTTGAGTTTTCAATTATTTGAAGACAATAAACATAAAATTGCTTTTAAGTTTCATACGATAAAAAATTATGGCACACAGATATCATTTTTTTTAAAACATTATTTTTATGAACAATTCCAAACATGAATTTCGTTTATGTTTATTAAAATTAGATGGGTTGCAACTAATTGGCCCATTCAGACACAAGACTGACCAAAAAAAAAAAAAAAAGGCATGATATCCGGTTTGCATATGGGAAATGCTATTTTCTCTTTGTGCCGATGTAGTTAGAATATTTAGAGTCAATTTGATAAGGACATGAAAACCAGGTATACGAAATAAATAAAATAATAAAATAAAATAAATCTAAAGCAGAATATACTGACTCAAAAACTATAAGCATTGTTGAAATAGTTACACATACAATCGATGTGTGACTATATATTTCAACACGTTCCCTCATATGAGAGTTCATTCGGCTAGAAGCGTGGATATTGCACAGGCCCAATTTTTTGTGCACTTTAAAGTGGGGGTGATGAGGATCGAACTTGTGAGCTTATAGTCACTCAAGCTCTGATATCATTTGATAAGAACCTTGGATACACCACCCCAAAAGCTAGCTCAAAGAGTGGAAGTGTCGAAGGCTTTATAAACTCCACATTAGTTGCTCATACAACCAATCCAATGTGAGATTATATATCTCAACAAACATCTCAAAAAACATGAAGAGTCTGTCGGAGACTCCTTGACACCACCGACATTTGACAAGTTTCGATATTTATAATATTTAAATTTTTATTATATATTATAAAAAAATTGATCGATATTTTATCAAACTAATATAATTAAAATTAAAAATGGATATCGAATAAATCTCAGTGTATAAGAGATTTTTAATTGAAAAATATAATATTAAATAGAGTAAACACTCTTTTTGGTCCATGACAATATCTACAAAATCCTTTTTAGTCCCTGGCAATAAAAAAGGACCAAATTGGTCCCTAACAGTATGCAAAAAGGGCCACGTTAGTGACGGAGGAGTTGACATAAGGACTAATGTGGCCCTTTTTTCATAATTTTAGGGACCAATTTGGTCATTTTTATTGCCAGAGACTAAAAAGGATTTTATAGATATTGCCAGGGACCAAAAAAGATGTTTACTCTATTAAATATGTACATCTTATGTTTCTTTGAAAAAATTGATGAGTATTATGAGTTTATTTATTTATTTTTGTTAAATTATTGAATATTAAATATAATATACATTACATAAATTAAAAATATTATTTAATATCAAATGTATCATAATATTTTTTTAATTACATGTTATCATATCATGTTTCACGTCGATGCATGCTACATCAATTATAAAAAGCGTAAATACCCTTTTTGATCCTCAGCAAATTTCACGACGCCCGTTTTAGTCCCTAGCAAGTAAAAAGGCCCATCGTAGTCCCTAAGAAATTTAAAATGGACCTATTTAGTTGAAATCGTGTTCCCTAACAAATTTAAAAAAAACCCGTATTAGTCCCTAAAAAGACTAAAATGAATTCATTTTAAATTTTCTCAGGGATTATGAGCTTTTTTATTTGTTAGAGACTAAAGCGGATATCGTAAAATTTGCTGATGACCAAAAAGGGTATTTAGTCTTATAAAAAGTTCTGATCCTTACCTGAATGCTCAGAGATATCGCGATCTTTTAACAGTGTCAAGAGATTTTAATTTCTCACCACGTTCTTGATGACAAGTTAATGTTGGAGGACCATTACAATCTTTCTGTACTAAAACTCTTGGCTTTAAGAAGATATAACATTCATCACAATCAACATAATGTGTTTCCCTTGAAGATATAGCTCGCTTCGTTGATCTATGATGATGACCTTCTACTACCCCTTTGCCATCTTCGCTGCTAAGAGGATAAGGACAACATACACACATTTTAATCTCACCGCTTGAACTATCAAGGACAATTTCATGGGTAACAGGGTTAAGAATGGCATTGCGTGCTTGGGATTTTGAACTATCAATCTTGCCTTGCTAAATACTTCTATGGTGCCCACTTGCCATAGGATCATGAACATCCAATGAATGTGGTTTGCAATGAATTGATTTCTTCAAAGAATGCCAAATCTCTGACATTCTCTTAAAATATGTTTTCTTTGTGATATGAAAGATTCATCCTTCACAAGGCTAAATAAATATACACTGTATCTCTAGGCAACCAAACAATCAAGGAAACCCAATTATTATTTTTTAATGGGATAGGATATTGTGACACCCAAATTATGTTACACACATGTGACACCCAGTCAATCTCACCGTTAGATCGCTTATGTTGATCCAACGGTTATATTTATTTCCATCTTTGTATGGTCATGATTTCTCAAATTTAATATTTTATATTTATTTCTACGTTATGATTTTCCATATTTAATGCTTTCACTTTAAATTTGGGAAATCATGACCATACAATGATGAAAATAAATATAACCGTTGGATCAACATAAGCGATCTAACGGTGAGATTGACTGGGTGTCACATAGGTGTAATATAACTTGGGTGTCACAATTAAGGTTAGATTCTTTATTTGCGAAATTGTTTTCTTTATCGGATCATTCACAATTTGGGGGATATTCAAGGGAGTAAATTTTGTCAACGAACCTGATATTGCCACGTCGAGCTTTCTACTGAAAAATACAAAAAATTTCAAACTCCTCATTTATTTATTACTTAAACCGAAAATATTTCCTTTTTACTTGAACTTATTTCCTATTATTTATTTTAATTGTCCTCTAAGAAAATTATTAATTATTATAGACAGTTAAAGATATAATCATATACCAAACAGCCTTGGCACAAATGATAAGAAGTCTGGATCCTTAAGCAGAAATTTTGAATTCGAGCCCTAAAAATGAGGAAAAAAATTTGGGAGTTTAATAAGGTCTGACAAGTGCTCGAAACGGATATAATTTGGAGGATGAACCGTTTGGGAAAATAAAATAAAAATATAATCATATTCATACAAAAAACGCATGAATACATGGCAGATGTTTTAAGATTTAAATCTCACATTTTTTGTCACAAGTTTAAATGTTATATTAAATTAGTGACTCGAAATGTAGGAATTTTTATTAGCTATTATTACAATAAGATTTCATTGTAATAAAATATTATTTATATTATAAAGTACGTCTTTTAAGAAATAATGTCATGGCAAAAGAAATAATTTATTATTTATTATGAATTTCATTTCCTGAATCTAAGGAAATGCATTAAAAAATTACTAAATATTTTATAATTTTATAAATTAGCTAATAATTTTAATAATTATTATCTTCAGATATACATATATTTTTAATTTGAATATATTTAATGATACGAATAATGATATTAAATTAAAAAATCTAAAATAAGATAAAATAAAAAAGATAAGAAATTCACTACTTTTTAAGATTTTATAAAATAAAAAGGTAGAGGGACAAAACACACACACATATATAAGTGTTATATTTATAAATTAAATTATTTATAATTTTTACGACTAAATCTTAATTATTAATTTCCGTTAATTTAATGGTTATGATTTCCAAGGTTAAAAAAGAAAAAATATTTTTACCAAATTCTACATGTACAAATAATAAGAGAAATTTAGAATATGAGAGATGTAGATTGCAGGGGGGGAAAAGGTGGATTTGACTAGGGTAAAACTTGTCATTTAAATCACAAATATTTGTTCCTTTCCACAATTATTAATAAAAATATCTACGGTATGAGATTTGGAGTCCCACATCGAAAACATAAGATTCTAGTGTGAAGTTTATGTAGATTTTGGACTCTCCTATCTCATAAGCTAGCTTTTGAGGTGAGATTCTCCTGAGATTTGTTTCAATTGATATCACGAAGTCCCATATCAGAAACATAAGATTGTGAATTGACTTTTTTGAGGTGAAGATCTCCCATGTTCGTTTCAGATTGTGATTTATATATTTTGATTAAACTTGCCATTGAAAAGTATTCATAAGTTGATCTAACCTTTGTGATATCGACTAGAATTGCAATTAAAATACTCCCTTAGAAAAATGTTAGCTATGCTTATATCTATAGTTTTATGATCTGATTTCATAGTCTCATTAATCCAAATTAACATGGGTGCCAAGTTTAACTCTAATGATCATGAATTGATATTGTAGAGATAGATTATTCTACCTATCTTTTTTCTGCCTACCACTTTAAAAGACTGTTAAATCAGAATTTTAATTAATATTTATTTTTTCTCTCTCCTCTTTAGATTCTGGATCTGACGGTATTGGAAAATGGCAAAAAAAAAAGTAAAATAACATATCCCGATATTGTATCCTCAATTATTGATAACAATTAACAAATAATAGAATAAATTGGTTAGAAAGAATGTATTTTTTGTGATCTTTGTAGATTTTGCATACAATATTGCACACATAAAATTAAATGAAGGTTCATATTTTCTAACAATATTTGCATGATTTTATTTTATATATAAGAATTTCCATGATTTTAAACATGTCTCTCCTTTTTATTTTAAATTTATCATTGTTTTTTTCACAATATATTAGATATTAAAGAAAATTAAAATTTGCAATATTATGCATTTGTATGACATGCCCCGTAGCCAACCTTGCTAGAAATTCTTGTCATTGGCTTTGAGTTTTGGTGTACCTATATATATTTAAAATTATAATAATGGTGATTCTCTATATTTTGACCATTACTTTTGAAAATATTCATTAAATAATTTGTCAGACTTTAACCTCTTGAAAGAAAATCCAAATGAAAAATGTAAAACTTATCTGAAAGCTCTTAAGCAAAATACTGTTGCTAATACTCCACTGTTGAATGGTATCAAGATCAGCAGCAAAGAATGTCAGCAACTCTTTTTGACTCAGGACTCAAACTCCACCATGAATAGAGGTGTTAATAGGTCGAGAAGTTTTGGTTTTACAATGTTAAGTCTATGTTTAAATGTATCAGTTTGAGCAAGCTTGTTATCTGTTATGAATGTAATTATCGGCCTGACTTATTTACAAAAAACAAAAGTTTGATTTAGTCTATTTAAAAAAAAACTAAGACAACAAAAATTTATCCAAAAAAAATATAAAATCAACAACACTAGTAATTTCATATTCATAAATTTAATGTATATCAAAATAACATAATATATAATAAAATCATTCAAAAAATTTGTTTAACCAATAAAATGGGATGAAATAGATTGAGGACAAAGAGAGAGCTATTACAAGTAGTATAGAAAATATAAAATAAAATAAAAATTAATATACTAGGCTAGCCTGAGAGGCTCTAAGACCGAACTTTTGTATTAGAGCCTTAAGCTTTTTTATTAATTGAGCTTTTATATAAGTCTAAGTCTGGTTCCAACAACCAATTTTAAACATGTACGTTTAGGCCTTCACGAGACGAGCAGAAGGCCCCTGGTTCATTTACCACCCCAACACTAACGTGGGTCATAACATTGATTCAGGACCGAACCCATGGGGCAGCAACTGTAGCAACCCAACCTACTGACAGGCCTAATAGAAATACAAAAGAGCCCAAATATTTATTGGACTAGGAGAGTTAGAATAACTCTAATTAGGGGTGTTCATCAACCGATCCAAATCAATTTAAATCACGACCGAACCGAAAATCCGATAACTGAATAAATCCAAAATCGAAAAGAAAAAAAACCGCAAATTTTAATTGGATTGGATCGATTTTCAGATTGATTAATGAAAACTGATCAAATATATCAATTCCCCTCTACCTACTTGGGTCTTTCCCTAATCATAGTCCAAATATTTCTAAACTCAAGACCCATTAACCCATCAACTAAACCCAAGAAAAAATCTAGTCACGTCTCATCAACAAAATTTCATCTGTGTAGAGCTTCATATCTCATTGTCCAAAAAAAATTATATTATTGTTTAATGATGTTTTTGTATTTCACAAAAATTTTTTTTTTTTACAAAGCCAGAATATATACAAAAGATGTTATTTGTACCGTAATCATGAAACAAATTTTAGGATTTTCAAAAAATCGAAAACCGATCCAATCTAAACCGAAAAAAATTAGATTGGATCATATCGGATTTAAAAAAAATTCCAAACTGAATAGATGATTACAAAATCAAACCAAAGGAATTGGATCAGATGATTTTTGCTTCCAAAACCGATCTAATCCAGACCGCGAACACCCCTAGTGTCCCCTGGATTTTACTTCTTCACATTGAACACGTTAAAATTTGACTGTGTTTTTTCTCTATCTCTCTCCTCTACTCTTTTTCATTTTTTCTGCATGTTGGCCGACCTAGTTACTCTAGGCCGACCTCTTATCGCCAAGCTTCTAAGTCTGAGCTCCGATTTGTGACTTGCTTCCTCACTATTTGAGGGACCAACTTGTCCTAATAGTGGTATCTCCAGGCTAACCTCTGATTGCCGAGCTTCTAAGTCCAAGCTCCGAATTGTGACATGCTTCCGTGCTATTTGAGGGACCAACTTGTCCTAACAATTCATGCTAGGCATGCTTGTTTGACAGTTTAGATCCTCTGGTGTCATGTACTTTTTTACTAACATACGCTCTGGAATTTTTAAAAGTCAAAGCTTCTAAATAATTATATCATTTCATGAACTTCCTTTTTACGTCATTTCTCATGTCTTTGACATGTTTATGATTCAATTTTACAACATTTTATAATTCTACTTTTGCAAAGAACTATATGTCATCATTTTAAATTTACACATGGTTAACAAAGAATTGCAAAGTGCAGGAACATAACTGGTTACATGATAACGAGCTTATTAATAATGCTTGGACCATGAATGAATAATCCAGACAATTAAAGATCAGGACCCAGTTGAGGGGAATGCCTGATAGAGATGCAACCATTCAATGCCAATATAACATTTTTACCTTTGAAAGTAATTTAATAATTTCAATAAAATATATCTAAAGAGAATTATTAAAAAACTTATGATTTGAAAATAGGACGTGGCTCTTTGACACACCGCATGGGATCTGGCAATAACTGGTGACCAAGTGGCTTCAACCCTCTTCTAGACCAATAAGTTACGAATGAAGTCTCTAGCTTCCTCACCTATCATCACAAAGTGATAAATCATAACAAATTCATCAATCACGTTGAGCAAAGTATTATCAATCAGATTTTACACACCAAGCCTGTCCAAAAAACATGCAAAGAGGGTTACAACATGTCATTCCAATGGCATCAATACTAAGAGACATTCCCCAAACTTCATTCTCAAATTTTGATGCATCTTTTTTCCTATATCCCCCACCCCCAAGAAAAAAGAAAGGCCTTTTTGGCTTATATGAAAACGTACACGAATTATTAAAAAAGTCATATACATGATTTTGACATGATGAATTTGAAAATAAGAGATCTATTACGTCTTTCAACATCAATGCAAAATACTGGACAACACATGACAAGCTGTAACAAGGATCATTGAAGATATATAACATTTGGGCAACTCAGTTGAGGCAGTTCAAACTGAAACTTTCAGGGCAATTTCCTACTCAAATGCTTTGGAACAAGATAATCTTTCTGTACATTTGTAGAAATATGCTTTTCACATTTGTACTAGAGCTTCATTACTTGTCAATAAAAGAGGTGTGGGAGCTTTTATGCTTGATAATATTATCTGCTAAATTATGGTCTCTTTTGCTATAGGATCTGTCAAATTGAACTACTCATTCTCTTCTATTAATGAAATTCCTTTTATTATTGAAAGAAAGAAATCACATCAAACACTTGATGGCTCCCCAGCAAGATGAAAATGAATGTGGGAACTTTTTTGCTTGATAATTTTATCTGCTAAATTATGTTCTCTTTTGCTATAGGATCTGTCACATTGAACTCCTCATTCTCTTTTATTAATAAAATTATTTTATTATTGAAAGAAAGAAATCACATCAAACACTAACTGGTTCCTCAGCAAGATAAAAGTAAATGGAAATGAATGTGGGAGCTTTTTTGCTTGATGATTTTATCTGCTAAATTATGTTCTCTTTTGCTATATGATCTCTGTCAAAATGAACTCTTCATTCTCTTCTATTAATGAAATTTCTTTTACTATTGGAAGAAAGAAATGACATCAAACACTTAATGGTTCCTCAGTAAGATGAAATGGAAATGAAAATGAAAAACAAACCTGCTTAACAATAAATGGCTCCTCAGCAAGACTAAGTGGCTCTGTCAAAATAGTTAGAAACCCATTGCGATTGCCATAAACAATGTCCGTGAAGGGCCTATCACCCACCTGCCACAAAATGCTTATGGTTTAACATAAACCTGAATCAAACTACAAAACAAGTAGCTAATAGAAATTGAACACTACAAATTTTTTATCTACCATGATTAATTTGGAAGATTCACAACCAAAATGCTTTTCAACTTCTTCAGCTGTACCAGCTGGCTTCTTCAACCCTGCAGCATACAAACACATATCAACAACAATACTAGTGTCATTTCACCCCAGGGAATATTTCAAAGCATTTTAACACACAGCATGAGATAACATGTATTTCAAAAAACAGAATCAAACCCCTAAAAGAAAAGGCAAAACTCACTGTGTCTGATGACTTTAATTCCAATTGCACCCTCAAGCATCCTAGCTTTTGAACCATCATGGTCATACTCATAAAGCCCTGATTCACAAAACCAATAAAAACAACACAAAAAACACATTATGTGATTGTGTGAACAACAAGTACTACAATAAAAACTATTTCAAACAATTTCAAAATGCTTCATGCTAGAATTACCAGCAGAGTTACTGAATATAGCAATATCATGACCAAACTCCGATTTACAACGTTCCAATGAAGACTCAAGCGAAGGCCATGGCGTCAAAGAGTAAGGTGCTGTAATAGTATTATCCTTGTCAAACACAACACCCTTAAAACCCTTTCTACGCAACTCAGCCCAATCAATGTACCTTATATCAGGAACAGAAATATGGGGCAATGCAAATTTTGGGTCTTTTAAGATAACCATAGTTGAACATAGAATTGCCTCCAAGTTGATTCTTTGGCCAACTGCTGCTTTCACATCTACCCACCACATGTTTGTGAAAAGTACCAAGTGGTGTTTGTGGTTATGATTGGAATAATCAGAATTGTACCTAGACCTGTTACTGTTTTCTTGGCCTTTGTTGCAATTATTATGGGTATGAGGAAGACTTAGGCCAAAGAAGTTTGTGAGGGGAATATGGGTATCAGCATTGGCAAGTGATAGAGTGGTGAATTTTCTCTTTTGTTGGATATGATGTTGATGGATATTAAGATGGTTAGGAATGTGATACCAGCAACTTGGAAGATGAGAAGCTACAGTACTAGTTAACAGCATTTTTTATTATTATTTTCCTTGGTTTTACTAATGGCACTCCCATATATTGTGCTAATGGGTATGCTTTTAATTTCACTATTTTTATTATATTTATACTGTATATCACTAATTTTAAGTGGTTTCAAATTTGAGGCATATTTGGATAAGTTTTTTTTTTTAAAAAAAAATTGTTTTTTTTAGAAATCTAAAAGTTTGTCTGAATACCTGCTCTTAGAAAAATTAAAAGTCATAAAAAAAGTTAAAAATATGTTTTTTTTTTTAAAAGCTGAAAATTTTAATAAAAAAATAAAAGTTAAAAACCCAATATTTTTTTTTTGAAAAATCAAATATTTTTTAAAAAATCTAAATAGTTTTAGCTTTCGTAAAAAATATTTTTAAAATAAGTAAGACATAAAAAAACACTTTTTTAGGATGCCCAAACTTATTATTCGAACTTAGTGTATCAGTTATCAGTTTATTCGCACTTAACTGATGGTAAGTATAACTATTCCCATATAAAATATCATTAATACTTTCAACAAATAAAATAATATATTAAAAATTATATATTAAAAATATCCTTAATTGAAAAAAAAATCCTATATTTAATAGTTACATAACAGATTAAGCGAAACACTTATTTTAAATTTTTGAAAAATATTATTTATATAAATCAAACATAGTAGAATAACCTGATAATTATTTAATTAATTCATATCGAATATTGAGAGAGAGAGATTAAACATAAATCAAACATGTATTTCCAATTCTTATATTATAATTAAAGGGAAATAAATTGTCATGTTGTTGGAAACAAGTTTTTTCTTCTTCTCTCCCTTCAAAAGTAGGCTTTCTATTTTTTTTATTTTTCTCTCATGTGAGAACCACACCTCATTGTTAGATATCTAGAATTATTTTAACTATAGTGGCATTAAACTTATAGTTATATTATGAATTTATGGGAGTTTGAGAAAAGAGACCAAGGTCTTTGTAAATCAATTTGAGTTTATCCAAGAAAATGAACCATGGAGGCTATTTCCTTGATACAACAATTAATGGAAATATATTGAGAGAAAAAAAGAAAGACTTACATATAGTTCTTACCGATCTTGAAAGGTGTATAATATGGTTTCAAGAAAGGTTTTATGGTGGATTCTTGAGAAGAAAAAAGTATCATCAAAGTATGTAGAAAGACAATCAAAGATATGTATGATAATGCTAATACATGTGGGAAGACTTGTTATTGAATATCAAGTTATTTTCTTATCATGATAGGTGTACACTAAGGCTTTGCTTTGATCCTTATCTTTTTGATCTAGTTATGAATGAAATAACATAAGACATCCAAGATGAAGTGTCATGGTGTATGTTATTTGCAAATGATATTGTGCTTATTTAAGAGACTAAGACTAGTGTTAACAGAAAACTAGAACTATGGATAAGCACGTTGAAGTTTAAAGGATTTACTCTAAGTTGTTGCAAGAATTAGTATATGAAGTGTGAGTTTGCTTCGACAAGAGATGGAAATTAAGATTTCATGCATTTGTTTGGACAAGAGGTACTCTATAAAGATTCTTCCAGATATATGGGATCAATTTTGCAAAAAGATGGGGAAATTGATGATGATTTAAATCATATAATCAAAATAAGATGAATGAAATGATGTAGTGCATCAGAGTTTTTGTGTAATCGCAAGATTACTCTTACGCTTAATGGAAAGTTTTATAGAACAACAGTAAGGCTTGCAATGTTATATGGAGCTAAATGTTGGCCAATACATTGGCAACATAAATATAAAATGGGAGTAAATAAAAAATGAAGATTTTAAAGTGGATGTGTGATCATACAAGGATTACTAAGATAAAAAATGAAGATATTCAATGAAATATAGGAGTAGTATCAATGGTAGAAAAGAAAAGAAGAGAGAACATAAATTAGAGTGATTTGGGTGCATAATGCAAAGATCCCAATGTTATTAAACCCAGATTGGTGATTGATCCGGTCGGGGTACCGGGTCAGTGGGTAACTGGTTCAACCGCATTAACCAGATATGTATATAAATTTATATTTTATAATTAATTATATAATATATATTTTAAATAGTGCAAGAGAACCAAGAAACAAATATAGCTTAGTGGTAAATACTACAATTTATATCTTCACAACAAGGGTTCGATTCCCACTATATGTAATTTTTAAATAATTTTATTAAATAATATGTTATATATATTAAACGGTGCATATTAACCAACAAACTAACTCAGCCTAGTGGTAAGCTGTTGTTTGGCATCCTTACGAGGAGAAGATTTTTTGTGGGACGGGACCATGGTGGTCCCTCCCAAATATAAAAAAAAGAGGGACAGAGGGGAAAAAATCAAAAAGAAAAGGGTAGAAATGGAAGAAAAATTTCCATTTATAGAAAAGGGACCAGTGAATAAATGGTGGGCCTGGAGCATGTTAAATTGTTTCCCTTACGAGACTCGAGTTTGAATCCCAGCTGCTGCAATACTGAAATTATTTTTTCCAAAACCGGTTCACCGGTTCGACGGTTAATACCGGTTGAACCGCGGTTCACGACCGGTTCACCGAGTTGATACCGGGTCAGCAGCATATCCGATCCATTGCAAGAATCAGATCGGTTGACGGGTCGGTTCTCGGTCCGACCGGCCGGGCCGATTTTCATGAACACTGAAAGATCCCCATGTGTTCTTGTAAGCATATAAGTTTGTTACCAAGAGTTTGACACAAAGAGAGAAAAATTATCGAATAATGTGTCTTATGATGGACTCGAGTGAAGCTATTAACATTGTAGAAAGTTAGACCTATTTTTCTTCTCATTAGATGATTCATTTTTTTGTCATTTTCTCTTATATCACTCTTTATTTCTTTCTTTACCCTTCTCTCTCTCTCTCTCTCTCTCTTTTATTTCTTTTATTTCTCTTTTATTTCTCTTATTTATTTATTTTTTATAGAAAAAATATTTATCCTTTAAAGGACATATAATTGTGTCATTTCATTTTAACTAAAATAATAATATTTTTCTTAATATTTAAATTAGAATTTTTTATCAATAATCTTCCACTCTCCTCCACCATGATCTTTCATTTGTAATTATATCTCTCGGCATAAAACACAATAGTTTTGTTTAAAATGACCTAATTTTATATCCTTATAAAATGACAAATACTTTTTTATTTTTTTATTTTTACTTTTTACTTTTTTTCTCTTATATTTTTTCTTTTCTTTTTTTAATTATTTGTTGATATTTTTAATTTCTAATGTTATTTATATTTTTAAATTTATTTTATCTTATATGATACCTGGGCTCTGGGGGAGATGTAAGAAAAATTACCAACTTAACCCTTACTCCAAATATTATATTTGGTTATTTATTAAAATCACCTTTTGAAGGAGAGGGTTAGATTGTTAGCTTTTAGGCTCACAGTGGTTAAGTAGAAAGAATGCCTAAATCCACTTCAAACCTAAATCCATATTTTACTTAGTTAACCAAGCACCAGAGCAAGTTCTGCCTACACTATCCAAGCAAGAGTCTCTCAAGAAAAAAAATGTCAACTGTTTAAGGCTCAATTCCTCACTAAGGTTAAATTACCATCTCAATTGCCTATGGATCCAACTTAGCTATCTGCAGTATTCATTTTAATCTCTCAATCTCACTCTGCTTTATTACACAGCCACCAATCCACTCATTTAAATCTACATTAACACAATTGCCCTGAGTCTTTTCTTTCTAACTAACAAAATCCAAGCTACCTATTGTGCAACTAAGATATTACTGTTGAAAAACTACAAGCTTTCTTTTAAAAAAAAAAAAACTATCTTCCAAATTTGTCTCAAATCAATTCTCAGAATTGGCATTCACATTGAGTCAAATACATCAAAACCAAAAGAAACTTATTTAGCAAAACACTATCTAACTAAAAATAGCAAAATTATCAAACCAAGGAAAGTTCAATATTTACAGAATATCCAAACAACAAATAAGACAGCAAAAACAAAAGATGCAATCAAATAAAATATTTTTCATTTTTTATGTTTTTTTCTTCTTATTTTTCATTTGGTTTTATATGCCACCAATCACAACTAATTTGGAATAAAATTATTTTTCAATAGTGATATTGAATCATAACATACTAGCCGGAAAGAAAACAAGGGATGCTACTCGGGCGAAACAGGTGGTTGTAAAGTTAGAACATTAGTTATGAGGTGCTCCGAAAAAGCATTGTGGTTCTTCTAGCCTTCTAGGTTACAAAAATTAATGGTCCTCCCCTCCATGCCCTTCATCATATTTGCATGAGTGCATTAAAACTTTCTTCACCACCACAACGGTCACTACAAAATTACAAATTACAGATTAAACTTTAATTTTCATTCATAAAAACTTCACCTTTTATTTGATGGTAACAATATCCAAAATGATGCACGGACTAACACGACACGGGACACGACACGACACGTTAATTCTAAAAAATGACATATTTCGATACGTTGTGACACGTTTTGATAGTAAATAATATTTTTAATATATATAATATAATTTATATTTAATAGATATAACAATCCATAATATGTCATATAACTAATCAAATATTCAAATTTCATAACATAAATATAAACAAAAATAATTTTTTGTACCTTGTTAATTTTTCATGTCAAATTTCATAACAGAAAAAAATTTATTTATAAATTTTTTATTTTATTTTTAGTTAATAAAATAAAATTAAGACTAAAAAAAAAAACGTGTCCGAGCATTGACCACGTGTCCAAAAAAATTGACTGCGTATCGGAAAAACGTGTCCGAGCATTGACTACGTCCACGTGTCTCAAAATTTGACCGCATGTCCGAGCGTGTCGGACACGTGTCCGACACACACAATTCAAAAAAAATAGCGAGTCCGTGTTTCACAACAATATCCTATCCCAAATAAATGTGATAATGTATACTTTAAAAGTTAATTTGTATTTTGTAATGTTGAAAATAACAAGAAATATCTAATTTAACTAATTAGACCGAAATGATATTGTTTGACCAAAATGATTCTAAAAAAAACTATACAAATACTCTAAAATGAAATATTATGCACACATGCAAGTTTCAAATAATGTTTAAAACTGAAAAAACGAGATTATTTTAACCTAGTTAAATATTTGAGAAATATATTTCTCATATTGTATGAGAATCATGCCATACAAAAAAAAAATAATATAATCTATTCAGAGAAAGAGAAAGAATGAAAAAAAATAAATGTCACCTATTTTTTTTTTCTTTGTTGAATGAAATAATTGTTCAAAAAAAATAAAATATATTTATGCAACAGTTCAAAATTTGATTCTTCGAAGTTCTAACAAACATGTGAAGGCAAAACGACGTCGAGTCGTGCTCTGGACCTTACGCTTTAGTCACATTGAAAGCGACGCTGCATTTGCTGCTTGCATACTCCAATCCAAAACGAAAATCGCCATAGCAGATCGAAATCTATGCTTTTGCGTAAGGAACAATGATCTCATTCAGTTTCTAACCCAATCAAACACACAAACATCAACTCCCGAAAACCTCTCTCATCGGAACCTGCAAAATCCCAAAAACAACAAAAAAAAAACTAAATGGACGACAAATCACAGTCCAAGAATAAGAAGAACGACGACGACCAAGTTTCGCAACAACAAAAACACGAAGAAGACCCTAAACCGCCAGTCGCCGGCGGCGGCGGTGGAGGCGGAGATTGGGGTGGATGGGGCTTTTCGCCTCTCTCGTTTATCTCGGATCTTCAAAAGGCCGCCGCTGTCGCCGCCGAAGAGATATCTCGCAATGTGCGTTTCGAAACGAGATGATGCCCTTTTTTTTAATATATATATTTTTTTTGGTTGCGGTCCAATGCGTTCATTTCAGTCTGTGAATTAATTTTTTGATTTTTTGGTCACAGTATTCTGTATCAATTTTGTGCTATAAATTTGGTTTTATTGTTATTTTGTGAGTTTCCCGGAGTATGTTGCTTTAAATGTTTTTTGTCAATTTTTTTTTTTTTTACATTTTTTTATTACTGATTTAGCTGATGGTGGAGTTCGTCAGTATGGAATTCTCAAGTTCAACGGTTTCATAGCATATAGTGTTTTTTTTTTTTTTTTTTTTTTGAGGAACACTATATAAGGATTTTGATTGTTACGGAGTCAAGATGGGCATGTGGGAAAGATGAATGCTATATATCCTTCTAGAAAATCTTGGCTTAAAATAGATAATATTAAATGAAAAAAGTGGAGGCATTAATATTTTGGAAACTATTTAATTTTGGAGGATTATTAGGAAGAATCGTTAAGAGGATATAGAGTTATTCATTGTGAATTGATGGTGCTTTTTAAATGCAGGCTGCTGCAGTTGCACAGACAGCATCAAAGAGCATTGCCGAGTTGCAAAACAGTGCTGAAGATTCAGAACCTTCCAAAGAGGATGAAGGGGCTGAAGCTGACAAGGAAAGTGAAGATGAGGAAGATGACAAACTGCGAACATCTGCTCTGGACAAACTGGAGAAAGCTAGTGAAGAATCACTGCTTAGCCAGGCAAGCGTAAAACGATCCCCTCCGTTATATAGATGTTAGATCTTTAATGCATTTCCATATAAGAGCAACTGAGCATCTTTGTCTACCATTAGTATATGGGTTCATTTGTCATGTCTTTGCTATGAATTATCAAATATGCAAGTTTCCTATTCAAATTCCCTTTTGTTTGTCTTTTATATTGATATCTTTTCTGCTGAGTGATGATTCAAACTAGTGCTTAATTGAGCTTCTAGCCTATGCTTTTATAGGTCTTGCCTCTTTTAGGTTCGGTTTTGCCTCGTGATTTTCTTGACTAATTGTAGGCAACAATGTTAAGAAAGACAATTGATGGTTTAATGTTGTTGCATAATTGTTTTAGGGAAAAATAACAATCCTGTGTTTGTGGATGTAAATTTTACGCATTTACCTGTCTGTACTTTATACGTTAAGCACGTATTATAATTGAGCTCCTTATTGTGTGCAGGGTTTGAAGGTTTTTGATAATTCTGTGGAGACTTTTGCTTCTGGAGCATGGAATGCTTTAGGAAGTGCATTTAGAGGGGGCACTGGTTTAGTTCACAGGTAAGATTCATTGCTTTAATTTTTTTTTAATACAACGACCCACATGGGGCTTGCACTGTTAGTCTAGTCATTGATCACCATCCTGATGGACATACCTAGTTTTTTTTATGGAAATAAACACCTACGGTATTTGAAAATGTGTAACTAGGGTATTGTGCAATTTTTTTTAAGGGGAATTTAGTATGGACCAACATGTTCTTCACTTTCGAAAAAGGACATGTAAACCACTGCGGTGGTTAATCCTGTTATGGAGTGGTTAACTAATTGTTCCTCTTTCATCTTAGGTGAGATTCTACCATCTTTTCCTCAATAGGTGCTACCCCTACTTTCTCTCTAATGCATTCATTTGTTATCCTATCTTTTCTTGTATGCCTACTCATCCATCGCAAAATCCTCATCTCTACAATATTGATCCTATGCTCTTGTTGACTCTTTACTGCCCAACATCCAGGATTAGAATGCTAAGTATAATAAATTTGTAACATATTCTTTCCCAACTTTCTATGCTTATGGGATAAACTAATGATTGATGCACCTAAAGTTGGCTTACATGGGAAGGTTGAGATTTGTAACGTGATTTGAGTTCCTTTTTGTAACCTTTTAAATATTAGGTTGATTTAATTTTAATTATTTCATTATTTTAGGCGTGTTTAATGCTGATTGAATTATAATCAGTTATATTTAAATTCTTCTTTTCTTTTTAGGTGTATTTAATTTTGATTGGGTTGCAATTAGTCGATAAAAGAATTTTTAAGACCCTATTGTAAAATGCTAAATAGATTGTATTTTGGTAATTGTAATTGAGTATGGAGAGTTTCTCTCTTTATCAAATCCCATTTTCTGTTTAGCCTACTTTTTTTTATGTTATGGCATCATCTAGTTATCAGAGCTCAAGTTCGCTTTCGGCAATAGCTGAACAAATTCGTGGTGGTCATGGATGGCGGGATCATGGTGGTAGGGGATGTAGAATCTCTCTTGAGACCGAATATGAACAACCGTGTTAGAGTGACCTACATGACATATAAAATGAAGAGATCAGAAGACGGACCCAAGATTTGGAATGGGTAGAGCTTAGAAGGAGAATCCAGAAATCGGAACTGCTAGTGTTCAAGAGGCAAATCCACTCTGCTTATAAGTTTCAAGGCTTATAAATGCCTTACTCGCGCCACTTTGGCAAGTTACAGTGGTCAATATGTTTATTAGCAAAACTACAACATAGTGAAATTACTTGATTGAAACTTCTTCATACAGAAAATATTTCACCAAATCAAAATGAAAAGTTGCAATTTCAGTTATAATTTACAATATGCCTCGTGTCTTGGCCATATCTTAGTAATACATGAGCTCATAGCTGTGAATAGTGAGCTATTATGACTACTATAGCATTTAGTGGTGCAGTAGCTCTTCTTGTGCTTTTCTAGATGCTTAGTCAGGCATTTTGAAATAGCATGTGGATAACGTTTCCATCTGTGCTATGGCTATGCTGAAATAGTTCTGTCATCGTTGTTAAGAGAAAAACGATGCAATCCATCCAATATTTGTGCCAATTCTTCCTAAATAAAGAAAGTACCCTCCTCTTCCTTCATTGGCTCTGTTTTTTTTTTTTCATTTCTTGGGTCTGGGTTTTGTTAATAGAGGTTTGTTGTCCTTCATTCAGGTGAAATGTAACTTAAAACTGCTCTCTGTCTTGTCTTGTCTTCTTTTCTTTTGATTCCTCTACTCTCTTCTTGGGTTCTGCTTTCTCCTTTACTCTTGGTTGGGTAATTTGGATTTCGATTTGTATATATGCCTTGGCTGTGTCTTCTTCGTGCGATACTTCTTTTGGCATATTTATTCTGGGTTGTGGGCTATACCACTATAGTATAGTGCTTTCTGTTTGGGTTTTACTGTGTGCCTTGTAATGTGCCATGAGCAGGGTTCTTCCTGGATATTTTTAGAATTTAGATGTAGTTTCCTGTCTCAGTTATTGTGCTGAGAGGCCCATGACTTACTCGATTTCCTTTTATACTGTGAGTCTTAAATGTGAATTGAGTTATATTTTATTTGCATATTGTTATTTTGAGATGAATAATATTTAAATATATCTTACTTTTTATATAATATTCACTAATTTTCAAATGCCTGTATTACAATATGCATATATGCCCAAGCTTGTAAGTATCCTTACCTGAAAATAGCTGCAGCTGATTTTGCAACTAAGAACATGGAGAATGAGGTGTGCACAGTATATATTTGCCACCCTAAAGTCATAGTAGTACCAACCAATCACATGCAATACCTACTTCATAAGCTATATATGACTGAAACCTTTTAGATAATTCAGCTTTCCCCATTCTGTTATAGTTATATCAGTATTATAGCTGCATTAAACAACTAGAGAGTATATTCTCTCGACTGCCTTTGGTTGTTTCAAAATTCAAATATGCTCTATCTTTCTTCTCTCTTTTCTTCCTATCTTGTTTATATTTAGTTTCTGGATCTGACTTCTTTTCACTGAGAAAAGCTTTTCATTTTTTATTTGAAGTCATGGTCTTTTTCTGCTTTCTTGCATTTTATTCTGAGTATCTGTTGATATTCAACAGAAACCTTGTATTGCCTTTAATTTTCCATACATGTCTCTGAACTAGCTCTAATCTTTGAATACTTCACTAACGTCATAAAGGACATGGTTGCTTCCTGTCATGGAACAAATTTTTGTGTATAACTGGTATTAACTTGAATAATGTCTTTGTGTTCTTTAGGCTCGAGAATTCAGCTTCAAACCTTGCAGGATCTGCACAGCATGATGGGCCTGGAGCTGCAGGTTCTAATGCACCTTCTCTATTAGAGGTTTGAAAATTCCTGTCATTCTTCATATGATATTCATAATCAATAATTACATTCGTACATGCTTATTTCTATTCATTGTGTAACAGACTGGAAAAGCTTTTACTGCAAAGGGAATGCAAGTGCTTGAATATGTGGGTAAGGAGACGATGGACCTATTAATCAGTGAAACTGGAATAGAGGTTGAGAAGGCTAAAAAAGAGGGTGAGGAACAAAATGATGAGGATCAATTATTGGAGGAAGTGACATTTGATCGATGCTTTTACATTTATGGAGGTCCAGAGCAGTTGGAGGTAACCTTATTAGAATATTTAGAAATATCTTATAATATCATATTATTGTCTATTCATATGCTTTTTCATATGCAATACTCAGGAACTGGAGGCTTTGTCTAGTCATTATGCCTTGTTATTTAACCGAAGAAAAGCAAAGCTATCAGCAGAACAAAAGTCTGTATATGATGGGAAGCTTAAAGAGGTCCAACAAATTTTTAATTTGAGTACTGAAATTGATAGAAGCAGTGCTGATTCAAACAAAGGAAAGACAATAGAGAGAGGAAACGAGGGCAGTGGTGATGAGATGAAGAATTTGCATGATTCAAGTGTTGGGAAGGCTGCTGAAATGGCTGCAGGGTAACCCATATGTTAATTATTGATGTTCTATTAACCTAACTTTTTTGCCATAAATTTGAGATGTGCTAAATACTACAGTTCTATCTGTATGGGTGTGGAGCTGAGTATAAAAAATCTACATGATGTAGATAATTTGAATGTTTGGATGCAGGATAGCATAGATAAAATGTACTCACGGTCATAGGATTAGTAAAAGCAAGCCAAGTAACTTCTGTAATATTTGAAAGTGTTTGTCTATCACTTTATTAAAAGGGGCGAACCGGAGCAGTGGTAAAACTGTTCCTTCATGACTGAAAGGTCATGGACTCGAATATAGGAAACAGCCTCTTTGCAATTATGCAAGGGTAAGGCTGCGTGCAAGGATTTCCTCCACCCCACACTCGCTAGTCGAGTTTAACGGGGAGTGATTTTTTTTCTTGTCTATCACTTTATTAAAAGTACTATATTTTTACCCCTCCCCCTTTGTTATCCTGATCATTTGGGTTGCGCTGGTCATTACATAATTATATTCACCATTTATCCCTATAGACTGAGGAAGCTTTCTTACAGATTATATGTCCGATGTGATTCCTCTTATTTCATTTTGCAGTTTCACGAACGCCTTGGCTGGACTAGCTGCAAACGATATAATTCAGAGAACTGCTGCAAGATTAGAATCTCTTCATTCTGAGGGAGTTCATGTACGAGAAAATATTCTGGAATTTGCTGGCAAAATTTATTATTTTTATAATTTATAAAAGTCATTCTTTCTTTTTATTATCATGTGAGGTTTGTTGTAAAAGTGAGTAAAAAAGTGCCGCTTTTCTATGTAGAGACTATCTGAAATGTGCTGTTTTGCGGTGTCTCAACTTCTAATGTTGGGCAAATCCATCATTTCTCGTGCCAACAAAAGTGAGGATGAAGAAGCCGATGACAATAAGGCGAACATAGAGTGGCCTGAAGATGTTTCTGCAAAAGCTAAGATCATAAGAATAAATGCCCAAACAATGATAGGATATGTGGAAGCAGTTTCCAACAGTTTTATTACAGGTTAGCTGTCTACTGCTTCTTTCTTCCTAAGTAGCAATTACTGAGTTACGTTTATCATTTGGCATTTTTGATGCATTTATCAGGCATATCTGATGTGACTGAGGCCTATCAAGCTGCCATTAAAGGTGTTGCTGCTGAGTCTCACACAGTTGTTCCCCAGACTTCAGTCCAGGAAAAAGCCAGTGCCTTCTCTGAACACCTTCGAGATGATCAAACAACAGCGATTAGCAAAATCCAGGATGGGATGCAATTTTTAGCTCACGTTGTCCTTTCAACCTCTATGAATGCTGCTTGAACACCCATGTTTCTATTTGTAAATAGTCACGGTTTAATTCGATAAGTGATACTCCTCAACTATGTGTAGTTTACTACGACCGTACCCCGATGATTGAACTGGGGCAGATCTGTCCTGTTTAATTGATCACTGCAGCCTTTTTCATTCTTTAATTTCTTAAATAACTCTGTAATATATAAAAGGATTTAGATTGGTACACTTCTTAGTTATGTTATTATCATTTAATTATATATTCGCTATGATACTGTTATGAATTATGATATCATCTTCCCTTGAAGCAAGGCATAATTGTTAGGCAGTTACTAACTAGTGTAAGAAAGTTTAGGGAGTTAAAATTGTTAGCAGCTATGATCCAATAAACGAATATGTAGAATAGTCTCAAAGCTTCTACATAGGCTATAAACAAATGGATGTACATGCACTAAAGAATAGAAAAAGATTATCAAATTTTTAGTTCTTTATTATTCCTCTCTCTTACTCTCTGTGAATAAGAACACAATTCCTAACATTGGTGCTGTCATCCTTGTGAACGCCATTTTTTCTGTAACATGGAAGTGAAAGAGAAACTTACCTGATCTAAATCCAAAACCTTAAGGTGTTAAGTGATGGTCTTTTTAATATATTATATTTTATTCTCTAACACCCCCTCACGTAATAGCCTTTTGGGCTTAAAGCGCAGATATGACACAAATTAATTTTTGGTCTGCCTTGTGCTGCACAAGTTCATTTTTTTTTTGGTCTTCGTTGTGCTTTTCTTAATTCCACCTGAAAGTGGGGGCGGTGAGGATCGAACTCGCAATCTTGTGGTCACTAAAGCTCTGATACCATGTAAAGATCCATTTCAACCTAAAACCTTAAGGTGTTGGGTGATGCTAAATTATTTGTTTTGTATCTCTCTAACACACCCCTTCACGCAAGAGCCCTTTGGACTTGAAGCGTGGATATGACACAAGCTCATTTTTGGTCTGCCTTGTGCTGCACAAGCCCATTTTTTGGTCTGACTTGTGCTTTTCTTAATTCCACCTGAAAGTGGGGAGCGGTGAGGTTCGAACTCATGACCTTGTGGTCACTGAAGCTCCGATACCATGATAAACGGCACTTCAATCCAAAACCTTAAGGCATTGGGTGAAGGCCTTTTTAATGCTTTATATTTTAATCTCTAACACCTCCCTCACGCAAGAGCCCTTTGGATTTGAAGCGTGAATATGACACAAGCCCATTTTTTGGTGTGCCTGTGCTTTTCTTAATTCCACCTTGAAAGTGGGGGGCAGTGAGGATCAAACTCTGGTATCTGAAGCTCTGATACCATGTTAAGAACCATTTCAACCCAAAATCTTAAGGTGTTGGGTGAGGCTAAATTATTTATTTCGTATATGTCTAGCACACCCCCTCATGCAAGAGCCTTTTGGGCTTGAAACGTGGATATGACATAAGCCCATTTTTGGTTTGCCTTGTGCTGCACAAGCTTAATTTTTGGTCTGCCTTGTGCTTTTCTTAATTCCACCTAAAAGTGGGGGCGGTGAGGATCGAACTTGTGACCTGATCACTGAAGCTTTGATACCATGTAAAGAACCACTTCAACCCAAAACCTTAAGGTGATAAGTGATTGTCTTTTTAATACTTTATATTTTATTCTCGTGCAGCAAATTCTAGACACCTTGCATGCTATGAAGGTTTCCCCTTAGAGTGCTACGCTCGCAACCATTTCTCCAATTGTGGAATGGCCACCTGCAACAATGCCATTATCATCTCAGTTCTAAAGCTTGTGCTTCTTCTTTTGGCTATGCTTAGAGGTTTCCTCCTCTGAAGCTAAACCCTCAGGTTGGGAGATTTTCATCACTTTCATCAAGAATTCATGCCAAGAAGCGTTGCACACTCAGACCCGGCAAGGCTGTCTAGATTTTGGCATGAGAACTCTCATAGCATCATGGACTATGGCCAACTCAGATTCAACCAATCACATGGAACAATGACTCTTACTTTATGGTCACCGAAACTTTAATACTATTTAAGAATCAATTCAACCCAAAATGTTAAGATGTTAGGTGATGACCTTTTTAATAGTTTATATCATTCTCTAACACATTTCCTAACACACATGCACTATTTAAAGTTGGAGGCAATTTATGAGTTACATATAGTATATGTTGAGTGGTGTAATGAGCTATGATTCATTGACACTTCAAAAATCCTGACGTGTCATGTCCGACACTTCTCGAATATTCCAAAACGCGTTGCAGAGACTCAAAAAAGAATTCAAAAGTTGTGTTGCGTTCTATTTTTAATTCCAACTATTAGATTTGTTGGATTATGATTACCATTGTATTGAGTTTAATATAAATATTTGGGATATCTTATGTTTATTTACAAAATTGATGGCTATTATAAGTTTAACTTATTTTTTATTAAATTATTGAATATTAAATATAACATACACTACACAAATTTAAAACATTATTTAATATCAAAATGTATTAATCTAACATTTTTTAAAATTAACATGTCGAAATATTATGTCGTGTACTGTGTCAGATGTCGATATCGGTGCAACATAGGTAACGAGTATGCCCCGTAAGAATCTTTTATTTATTTATTGGAATATCCAATAAGAATCTATCTCTTCATGTGAATGATCACGAGAAATTTTGAGGTTGATCTGCTCCACTTCAAAGATGTTGTAGGACTGAGTTGTCCTTCATGCGAATTAGGTTGGACCCACCATATTTTGTCCACATTCAACTACAAACACGTCCAGATTCTATGTATTTAAAGATTAAACCCACATGATAAGAGACAAGAAGCAAAGAAAAATTTGTGTTCCTCAGACAACTGAAACTGAGATTAAATTGCTTACAAAACTCCATCTATTGGAGGTGTGTTAAGAAACGAGGAGCAGGAAATCAGACATGGGAGACATCGATCCAGCTTTCATACAATCCACAGAACACCGTCCAACAGCCAAGGTGGTGGAAGCTGGTGAAATTCCAATCATCGACCTCTCAGAAAGCAGAGAAGAACTCATCTCAAAGATTGGCAAGGCATGTGAAGAGTGGGGTTTCTTTCAAGTAATAAATCATGGGGTTCCCTCCGAAGTTAGCAGAAAGATTGAGGTTGTGGCCAAGGAGTTCTTTGAGCAAAGCACAGAGGAGAAGAGGAAAGTGAAGCGAGATGAAGTTAATGCAATGGGGTACCATGACGGGGAAAATACCAAGAACGTAAGGGACTGGAAAGAGGTATTTGATTTTCTTGTTGAAAACACAACACAAGTCCCATCTTCTCATGAACCCCATGATGTGGAGCTGAGAACTCTCTCCAACCAGTGGCCCCAATATCCTCCTGATTTTAGGTAATCTTAATCATCAAATCATCAAAAGAAGCTAGAGATAGAACTTACTTTTGATACTCTGAAATCATTTTATTCTATCACATAATCTCGATTCATGATCCAATGGTTGGTGTTGTAGCCATGTCACAGTTTAACTTGTTGGGTGAAGCTAATTCAACTCAAAAGGTCAAGTTGTTGGGTGAGGTTAATTCAACTCAAAAAGTCAAGCTGTTGGGTTAGGCTGTTTTATATATGTCTAACACGTCCCCTCATCTCATAGGGCTTATTGGGCTCGAAAGATGGATGATGCATCAGGTCCAGCCTAGTTATGCTAAGAAATTCCACAAAAAAATGGGGGACGACGATCGAACCAGGGATATCAAACCAATTTAATCCAAAAGTTTAAGTTGTTAGGTGAGGTTACATTAATGGTTTTATATATCTAATTCAATGCAAAGTAAGATTGCATCCACACAACTGTTATGACCCTATAAAAAAAAATTTAGACCCTGCAAATGCACATAGTAAAAATTTTATAACATCATGTTGCCCATATTTATCACATAATCATGTATATGACACGACATAAAACTGGTTTCTACTTGAACAATAGTTACTTAAAATCAAATATAAACTTCACATTTCAAAATAATTAAACTCGACAGAAAATTATTCCTAGATTGAAGAAAATGTTTTATTAGGAAAACATTGGAGGAGTATACTCGAGAAGTGGAAAAGCTAGCTTACAACTTGTTGGAGCTGATTTCATTGAGCTTGGGTTTGGTTGCTGACAAGTTCCATGGCTGCTTCAAGAACCAACTCAGCTTGGTGCGGCTCAATCACTATCCCCCATGTCCATTCCCTGATCTGGCTCTTGGTGTTGGTCACCACAAGGATTCCTGTGCTTTAACTGTGCTTGCCCAAGATGATGTTGGAGGCTTACAAGTTAAGAGAAAATCAGATGGTGAATGGATTCCAGTTAAACCCACACCACATGCATTTATCATCAATGTGGGGGATGTAGTTCAGGTATGTTAATATATAATGCTTTACTCGTTGGAAAGAATCAATTCAACCAAAAAATTTAAGCTCATGAGGTTATATTAACGGTTTTATATTTTTTTAACACGGTTCATGATACGAGAGCCCGTTGGACTTGAAGGATGAATGATGCACACAAGCCTAGCCAACTTGTGTTAAAAAACTCCACAATATGTAGTTATTTTTATTATTAGAATGGGACGGTGAGAATTGAACTATAATCACTTAGTCACATCGGCTTTGATACTATGTAAAGAACCAATTCAACTCAAAAGCTTAAGCTTTTGGATTATATCTCTATTAACACTCATCATATGAGAGCCCGTTGGACTTGAAGGATGAATGATGCACACAGGCCTAGCCAACTTGTGCTAAAAAAACTCTACAATATGTAGTTATTTTTATTAATAGAATTGGACGGTGAGAATTGAACTATAGTCACTTAGTCACGTCGGCTTTGACACTATATAAAGAACCGATTCAACTCAAAAGTTTAAGATTTTGGATTATATTTCTCTTAACACTCATCATTTGAGAACAATGTATTTGATTCAATTGGATAAATTTAAATGCTCTGCCCAACGTTGGGTGCTTTTGCAGGTTTGGAGCAATGACAAGTATGAGAGTGTGGAGCACAGGGTGGTTGTGAACACTGAGAAGGAAAGGTTTTCCATTCCATTCTTCTTCTTCCCAGCTCACCATGTTATGGTGAAGCCTGTGGAGGAGCTGGTGAATGAGCAAAATCCTGCAAGGTATAGAGAATACAACTTTGGTAAGTTCTATGCTAACAGAAACCGTAGTGATTTCAAGAAACGTGATGTGGAGAATATCCAAATTCATCACTTCAGGATCCATGTTTGAGCATAAGAAGTTGTGCTGGTTCCTTCATTTCAAATACAAATAAATTTGTGTTGGTTCCTTTCTGTTAATACATAAAATATCGAACTCTAGTTCTAGTTTCTTTTCACACCCTAATTCTCCTATAGCGGAATAGAATCATAAACAGAACACTGATCAAGATGTGTAACGTAAAGGCAGGATTTGAAATTCTGAAACATTGAGCCATGGATGCCCTGTTATTAGTATATTGTTGTGCAAATTATCCTTAATATAGTTTATGTGCTTTAATAAGCAAAGATCTAGCATGAATTAGTTCATACTTCACATTATTTGTATTCTGCTTGTCGGGCCCAGAGGTGCTCTGGGATATTACAGGAGCAAAAGCGTGCAAGGAGCAAATTTACTATGAGGAGCAATTAATCAAATGAGGAGCAACTCTACCCAAGATGCGTAAGCGCACGCGTCAAGCAATATAGGATTTTCAAAAGCCCTAGATTATCGTCCTCAGGAAACACATGTAAAAGTTGCGTAAAAAAGGAAACAATTAAAAAATAAACAAAATGAAGAGCGACAAAACAAATGTTCTAGGTTGGAACTCTCCAAATATCATTTTCTACTAGCTAGTTAAACAGAGTTAACCAATCTAAGTAGTTGAATGCTGGGAGTCATTCTCAACCTTCATTGAACAACACTAACATTAAAATCACGTTAAACAGTAAAGACCATCAAGTTTGAGAGCAATAAGGTAAAGGTCACTGTCACCAGGAATCACTTAGAACAATTATGTTTTTCTTGGATTTAGTTTTCAGAATATCAATAACTTTAAGAAAGGTAAACATAAAGTAAGAAAGTAGGTTTTTAGGTTCGGTATTTTCACCCCCTTGGTTGAACCTGCAACATTACACGTTTTCCGAATTGAACTATGCTCTTGTCTCCATTATGGTTAATCCAATATAACCTGGAGTCAAGGCCTTTTGCTCCAAATCACTCTTGAAGTTTATTGAATTTTAAACTCAAGGAGATCATGTTTTCCTTCTCAAAAGAGCATGGCCGAAGGGATCACTAGCAAAAGTGATTTACGCATGACAGTGCTCCCTTTTCTGGATATTCCTCTGACTTAGAGAAAAATATTCTAGAACTTCTAATTTCGCTTCACACTACTTTGTGAGGGTTTCATCGACCAAGTGGACTTAGGATGAGTTTGCTAACCAAAGGGTATTGCGAAATCAGAACATCAAAACAAGAAACATCTCATAATTCATTAAGAAAAAGATGGTTTCATTACAAATTCATCCTAAGACAAAGATAGTTACTTCTACCTCACCCTCAACCTACTTAAGAGGATTAACTCATAAGGAGCATAACTGCAGCTACAGAAAGAAATGAAAAAAAAAAAAAAACTACAAAGAAAATTCTAAAACTTCAGGTTGAAGATGAAGATGATCCCTTGTGGTTTAGCTCTCCTTTCTTTTTAATTGAGGTCATTGCTTGCAATCTCAACCGCTCCATGAATCTACGGACCAGCTTTTCTCAAATCCTCTCCAATCACAGTGCTGCTCCTTGCCAAATCAACCCTATCGCAGCTGTGGTCCCCTCACTCCTTTCATTCCTTTTGCACGAAATCTGCACAGTGAGGGTGTTGCTCCCACATTCTCTGCTAACGCCGACGTGGAGGCACTCAATTGGCTACTTTTCTTGCGCTTGTACTGTAGCGTGCTTTCCTGTCTCCTTTTGATGCTGCATTTTTACTTTTCTTCCAAGTTTCTCCTTCATTGAATTGGGCTTTCTTTGGTTGGGCTTCAAGGTTCTTGCAAGAGCAATTCGATTCATTAAATACATAAAAGAAAGAATCAAATAAAATTGCTCCAGTATTGCCTTAATTCCCATATTACGTATTGCTCCAGCGCAATATAACAAATATCTGATCCTAGCAGAGATAATGGAAGAAAAGTGCAAGTTACACATTAAAAATTTGGATTTAAAGAGCACCATCAATGAATCTCAACTTTTGAGGACCATCATATTCCTACAATGATTTTTATTACTTATAATGCCACCATTCTTATGCTTTTCATGTTTCTTTTATCTGTATTGATCTTAAAAGGTATCAATGGGCCATAAGAGATGTCAGTTTAAGATATTAATTAGTATTATGCCAACGTTTATCAAACACATTAATTTTACCTTAGTTGGCAGATTTCGTAATCTTTTTTTCCAGATAATCTTCTTACTTGAAAGGTAAAAGACTAATTTCTGAAATAAAAAAGATTGATTTCTCAAAATATGATCAGGTGGCGAGCACATACAAATCCTAGAAACTAGTATTGCAGGTGCAGGGGCCAAAATTAAGTATTAAATAAATAATAATTTAAGATAATTTAATTTTTTTATAGAATTTATAAATTTTAAGAATATCTAAAACTAATTATGTTTTCAAACATCTTAAGTAACTTTTTTTCTGGTTATCTAATGTTTATCTCATTATTATTGTTATTATTTTTTGCATGTATTAAAAGGTATAGGTAAAAGTTGTGAAATTTTTATTGCAACCAAGAGCAGGTGATCAATTGTCTTGTGTTTTTAAAAGTTTAAGCTGGACATTTATGCCTAAAGCCTGTACTTGAATTTTTTTTTCTTAACCTCTAAATCAAGCCAAACTAAAAAAAGAACAATCAATTTACCAAAAACAAAAAAAAGAACAATCAATATCATTTTGTAATATTTGTAAGACATGGTAAACAGTTTACAACTCCAGGCACTTAAAATTATGTTGTATGTAAGAGGTTTTTATGTGAAAAGATGAAGCAATTATTAAAATTAATTATTTGACATGTAATATTATAAACTTTGTTGGGCAGCCTTTCAACAAATCTTTAAGTCAAATCTGTATTTTTAATTGGGCCTGGGTTGTTAATTTGGAGTTTCTATGACCTTGACAGTTGAGAAGTATTCTGTAAAATCCCAATGGTAATGCGTCATTGAATTACAGCCATAGCCATATTTCTTTTAGTTTGATTATTATATCTTGTATTTATAAAATCATATGCAGAAATTCAGGTAGAATTACGTTAGGTAATAGATTATCATATAGTTAAGATGGAAATGGATACTCTCATGTAGAAAAAAAGCATGATATGATCATGTGGGAAGATCACAACCATACAAAGGTAAATCAACGGTTATGATTTCGTAACTACCTATTTTAACATTTTTTCTCTCTCCTCCTTTATTACTATTGATCTACCTTTGTATGGTTATAATTTCTCACATGACATGGTCATGTGAATTTTCACATAAGAGGATCCAGATCCAGTTAAAATAGAGTTGAGATAAAATATGAATTTCAAAACATTGTTAATCACACTAATTAGTACAGGTAAGTGTAAATCTAGTGAGAGTCTCTATGTGCTATGTAATGATGACTAATTAAATAACCACTAAATTTAAGATAATACATTTTATTCCCTTTTTAGATACCAACGATGTAATTAACTTTATCTTAGTTCCACCGATTAATATATTAACAAATATGCAAATTAAGTGACACACAGATTTACGTGAAAAATCCAATTAAAAAAACCATATGCAAGAGTATAGAAGGTTTTTACTGAGTGGAAGAAATTACAACCTCTTTAAAATACATGGAGAGAATAATATCACTCTCTTATATATTAGGAGAATACACCTACAATATCCCAGGAAAATAATAGTAATTTATAATATAATGAATTAATAATAGTAGTAAATTATAAATTAGTAGTAATAATAATAATGTGTGTATATATTTAGGATTGGATGATAAATTGTGATTGTTTGAATTATTAATTGATTGGTCATTTATGCATTAATGTTTGATTAGTAATTTGATTAGATATGATGAGTCAACATTGAGTTAATAATGAGTTAGTAATGAATTAGCGATATTCTGAGCCATAAGAATTTAAGATTAAAAAGGAACTAGTGTATGAAGCCAATATCTGAGCCAGATACATCAATGAAGAATAAGGAAATAATTGCATGAAACCCATATACGAGCCCAGAACTTCAACTATAAATAGAGGCTAGCCTAACCAAACCAATTCATTTTCAATCCTCAACATTTCTCCTCTACTCTTTGTAACACCTCGTAGTACTCCGGTTGTTAACATACATGATATTTAACATTCACAGCGGAAGACTTTAATTAAAAAAGGAATAAAGCATCTTATAAAAATACGAGTAAACTTTTTTCAAAACATTTTATAAAAACATTTCAAAAAACGTTCACGTGAGGTACTGCGAAAGCGTAAATCTACAACATACATCTACTAATTAAAACCATTGGCCATCACTAATGGCCTTTGACCATCCGGATATGACATCAAGTGCCATTCCTGACGGAGTCTCTCGGACAGCATAACGACTGTATTTCGGATAACCGGAACATGGGTCCCACGCATACAATTAACCTGATAGATACAATAATTTAAACAGATAGCTTGCAAGTCCCACACAGAATGCGATCCCCTCAATGGGTCAATACAAATAATAAGGCTTCATGCCCAAATTAACTGAATACATGCATCAAGTCTATATTAATTCAAAGTATCTAAGCATCAGTAAATAATCCTTGGCTCTAAGGATACAATCATGAGCCTAAATAAATAAATAAATACAAAATCTCCACAAAATAATTAAACATGTTAACAAGTCTACATGCCAACATCAAGTCTAAACATAATATAAAATCATCAACTGCATCATCAACTACTTCAATGCGGGGGCCTTGCACCTAGAAGCATCACCACTACACCGGGTACCTGAAATGATGTCCCCAAACTGGGTGAGATAACAACATCTCAGTAAGCTCAAGGTTCATAGAGGATCCTTTAATCCCTTGAGCCCACTTCCTGCATGACAAGTCAAATATAAAGCATATAATACAAGCATACAACATAAACATAGCATCTTCATATCATCCTTGTGTAACCCCAGGGTCAAAGCCATAGACAGTTACACTTGTGTAACTTCCAGGGTCAAGCCATAGACAGTTACACCTGTGTGACTTCCAGGGTCAAGCCATAGACAGTCAACACAACCTCTGTATGATACAGCCCCTAGAAACTGGATTGGAGCTGTTCTACAGTCTATTACTGCGTCAGCAGTCAAAAAACAGCATATGAAAGTTCACCTGATTAGAATACCCTCAATATGGGTATCCAAATTCTTAGAATTTTATTCTCATTCTATTTATGACCATAAGATCTTCATCATAACCCTCTAATTTAAAAATCATATAATTAGGGTTATTATAC